CAGAGACGCAACGTGCACGGGATTGGTGCTATTGCATGGCCACGAGCAAGCACCTGGTGGCATGGAATCGTGCTTAGAAAGGAACAGGCGCTGAAGAAAGCGTTAGTACTGCAACATGGGTATAGGAGGCAGCGATCCAGTTTTAGTTTTATGTGGCCAGTCCACAGACTATGTACTAATCCTATGTACATAGTCTGGTCACTTAGTCTATGCACTGTAGGGGTGGGGAACCTAAGGCTTAGGTGCCAGTTGCATCACACAAAATCTGCTAGTCTGGGCTCCCTTAGATTCTGGTGTGGGAGGGAAATGTGGGGAGGGTCTTTCACCTTTTCAGTCAGGGGCTAGTGAGGATTTTTTGTTTGCCAGTTGCCCCTAATCCAAGAAAGGTTCCCTATCCTGTTTTACAGACCCTGTGGCTACATCTAGACTGGCATGATTTTCCACAAATGCTTTTAACGCACTTTTTGAGGAAAAGCGTCCGTGCCAATCTAGACGTGGTTTTGCGCAAGAAAGCCCCGATTGCCATTTTCGCCATCATGGCTTTTTTGTGCAAAAGTTTTTAGCTGTCTACACTGACCCTCTTGCACAAAAACATTTCCTGAAAAGGGCTTTTGCCCAAACAGGAATGTCAAAGCATTTGCACAAGAAGCACTGATTTCGGACAGTAGAACGTCAGTGCTTTTGCGCAAAATCAAGCGGCCAGTGTAGACAGCTGGCAAGTTTTTGCACAAAAGCGGCCACTTTTGCGGGAAAAACTTGCCAGTCTAGACACAACCTGTGGGTATAGCTGATTGTCAACAAAGCTATATGCAATTACCAAAGGACAGAAGTTCCCAACAACTTTTATTGCTAAACAAGTGTCTGCTTCCTTTAAATGATTTTAAGGTGGAGGGTTATCATTACATGATGTGTGATGCATATTTTCTCTAATTTAGACAAAAAGGCAGGTGCATTATACCTTTCTCAAATACAGACTGGCCCTCCCTGATTCAGCAGAATGAGGGAATTTGCTGATCCAGAGGAAGTCCCCCTACCACCAGCCCCTCAGCCCACCAACCCTCCCCACTGCTGGCTCCACTTCTAGCTAGGGATGTTAAATATCGCTTAACTGAATTGTTGAATAACCTCATGAATTCTTATTGGTTAATTGACTATTCTATAGTCTGCAGGGCCAAGCCCAGCAGCTAGTGCACTCCAGCCTTATTCCTGAGGAGTCCCTTGCCACTCTGCACTGCTGTCTCTGTATCAGAGGCAGCAGGACAGGGTGGCAGGTGGGAGCTGGTCCACAAAGGGAGCTAGTTTAAAAACCACCTCCCCTCTTCAACAGGCCACCTGTCACCCTGTGCTGCTACCCTGATAGACAGCAAGCCCTTGTCAGGCGTATGTGTGTTTGAGCTCCCGGACCCCAAGTGAGCTGCAACTGAGACAAATTCTTTGCCCACCAGGATCCTAATATACTTTAAATGCAGAGCTGCAGTGGGGGTAGGTCCTGGACCCAGTGTGAGTCAGGACTGAGCCAAGGTCCTGGCCAGCCTGCTAAAAAAATTGCTGCGGAGGGAGGCAGGGATGTGTGTAGTGTATAGATTAACCTATAAGCTTTTGCTTATCATTTAATTGACTACACTATTACATCCCTACTTCTGTTCCAGCTTGCCTACGTGCCTCTGACCCAGTTTGGTGGCTAGCCTCAGTCCTGTAGCCCGCTGCCACTGAACTCTTGGTGTGTGTTTCTCTGCCACACCAGAGTCCCAGTTTAGGGAGGTATAAATGGTAGTACAACCAGAGTTCCAGGCAGTTACTTTCCTCCAACAGATGATTTGCAACAAATTAGTCGTAAGTGTAGTTCAAGTCTCAGTGCAAAGTTTCAGTAAACATTTATTTTTACCATACTATAATTCATTTGTGAAATCACTACAAATATTTAACTATATAATATACTGATCAGGTGGTCACAAAAGTAATAAATAAAGACATGTAATAGCTCTGTAAAAATAAGTTTGATACTCATAACGACCTAAAATATCAGCGAATCTAGTATTTCCTTAAAGGTCACATGTAAAAAGAATACATACACCATTTTCTTCAGAACAAATCATTTTACATAACACAATTTGCACAAACTTATAATGTGATTTAAACTTTAAATCTCATACACAAAACAGGATGTGAAATTAAATGATTGACATCAGTGCTGATAACTAGTACTATAATAGCAAATATAATTACTTCCTTGTTAAAAAGATCAATTTTTAATGTGCTAATTGTAATCACAGTTCAATGGAATTATTCAAAAGTTTAAAATACATGCAGATACAATAAAATCTTTAGTCTCAAAACAGACAATTAGAACTTATGATCAATAACATCATTAGCTGCCCAATATGGATTATCAGTATGTGAGGCAAATCACATTAAAAACATTTTACATAATCAAAAAGCTAAAGTTGGTACTGAGTCTATTATCCACACTAACTATGCAACAAGTCTTTAAAAGCAAATGTAGAACGCACTATTAAGTACCAAGCTACACTAGATTTTGTACATTATACTCTGACATTCAATACCACTTTTGAAAGCATTACATTCTGAATACAAAACAGTTAACTATAGGTGAGATGTGTACTTGTAGAGAAATTGCTACTAATGTAAAGCTATGCAGAATGCTAATGTATTGAAATACACACAGTAGTTTCAGATATTAGATCCTAAGCATGACAAACACTTAAGACCTTAGTGGAATGTCTGTTAAAGCTAGACAGCTTTAGGTCCATCATAAACTATAGTCAATTGATAAAGTAAGATGACATTTTTCTAAATAACTGCTGAAGACAGGACAATAAAAAGGCACAGTTCAATATTACTAGCCTCTAGAACCGATGACAGGGTTTGTTAAACTATGCCAAAGAATGCAAAGATACTACTGCCCATCTCAGAATGAACCATTTAGTGATTAGAACAAAGTACTGGAAGTCATGAGATCTCAAGTTTTATTCTGATCTCTGATAGGAGTTGCAGTTCAATCTTGGGCAAATCACTCAAACTCTGTGCTTCAGTTTGTCCATTTATAAAATGGGGCAATTATACATCTTTGTAAAGTTACCTGAAGCCCTCAGATAACTGGCAACATTAACACACTCACTGCCTATGGAATGAACTATGAAAAATGGAGTAGAAGAATTTAGTAGGAAAATGGCATATAATTTTGTATGGAAAAATATTTGTAAAATGTGTTTACAAAAGTAACGAGACAACTTAAATACATCATCAGATAAGCCTCCTGCCTACTACTGTGCACCTTAAATTCAGAGCATTTTCAAGTACAATCATTGAATTTTTGTTTGTGCTCTTTCAAAATAGCTTTTAAAGTTAGCAGACTATACACTGAGATATAACTGAGTACTGAGAAACAATACTGATTAAAATAGCCAATTTTAAATAAATGCCTAAGCATATATGTCTTGTTTGCTTATAATATTGTAAATTTTTCTACTGTGCTTAAAATAAAATATTGAATTGTACATGGGATGTAAGTAAATACAAAAATATATTTTCCTGGATACAGAAGGTTGGGCAAGTTTGGGAGAAGAGTGTTGATACAAAAGGGCTGGTTTTACCTGAAACTAAAAAAGTGACAAAGACATGGGAACAATATGAATATAATCCAAAATTAAATTTTATGGCGGTATTTTAATGTAAACTGATAATATGCAACTCTTTATTCTTATATTAATCTTTGTGTTTTTATCTTCAATATTAAATATGATTTATATTTTGCATAATGTTTGTATTTTAGGTAATCTATAATAATAGGAAAGAAAACAGACATGAATGTACAGACATCGGGTGACAGTACATTCCTTATTTAGAACACGATTATATAGAACTGACCCATGAGGATCAACTCCTCTATGAATTGTCCCATTGAAAACAATGAAACTCTACGCTCTTGTAAGGTTTGCAGGCTTCAGTCCTTAGATCCCAAATTCACAAAGCATTTTGCTAAATTGGGGCTTTAATATCTAAGTTGAGTCTACTTTGTACTCAGATCTTAAGCACTACTGAGGGAAGTGAGTTTTAATATGAATAGCTCCACTGATGTTAACAGCACTACATCTATTAGAATTCACAGGGCTAACCTGTCCTTTAAGTCTTAAGAAAGAAGAAATGAGTTATTCAAAATAGTATCTTACAATTTAAATATGGCATTATTAAACTGGAAGCCTCGCACATACATTTATTTTTTATAGGCATGTGTATTTAATTTTGTTGTTAAATCAGATACTTGTGCAATTTTCAACAAATATTTCGTAAGGATTCAGGATGCTTGCATTTGCATAGGTGGCCACTCATAGCATGAAAGATGAAAATGGCTCACACAATATACTGTCTATTGCACGTTATACCAATTAACTAAGTTTTAAGTGATCACTTGACACGAAGTTAGTGCCAAAGGTCAAAACCCATACATTTTAAAATGTCCATAAACATGGATTTAAAAATAAATCATAGTGCGATAAGTTTAATATGGCAGACCAAAAGAGATTAGGCAAGTAACATGCATTTTTAAAATAATCTTGTATGCTTCAGCGTTAAAAATTAAAAGAAAATTTGCAAAAATATTTATTAAATGAAATTAAAATCCTATTTAAACCCAAACCCAGAAAGTTGAAGACAGAATGTCAAATTATGCTCAGGTGGATATATGCAACTCCTCTGAAGAAAACAGGGATACTCACGTGAAATAGATTTTGGCTCAGCACCAAATTTTACTTTAATACAGTTTTTTAAAAATATTAGGAATAGATTCTTCTGTAATGAGGGTGCTTTTATCTATTTTGGTATTTATATTGTGTCATCACTATGACATAAAGGCTTTCCAATCACACATCCCCATAACTTGCTTGAAAGCACTGCATTACAAAAGTTAAATGATTTCTCAGACTTTCTTCCCTGAGGTTACTTTGTCTCAACACACTTCAACAAATCTTACAGTCAGTGTCATCATTATCTATCTTGTTAGCATGATGAGGGTACAAATATATACACCCACCAAAATATAGTTGCTTCAAAGCACTCTAACATCACTTTTAAATAATCCCCTAGTTTATATACTCCTCATAATATGACTGACCTCCCCAAAGATCCACTGGGGACAAGAACTTCAAGCAAAAAGCACCTGTAAGACTATTAAAATTTTAGAAAAAATCCAGATCTTCCTCAAAATAGATTATTGCTGCTTATTGGTCCTGAGAAAGCTTTAAGCAGCAATATATTTGCAAGTATTTTATCTGCTGCATGTTTTGATCTGAGGAAGCATGTGGGTCCTGAGATTTTTTTTTAAAAAATCATATTTCTTCCTACGCACTCCCTTGTGGAAAGTATTTTACTACGAAGATCAAATATAAACTTCTCTGCCACTGAAAATTTGCCAGCACACTGCATTTCTTATCCTCAGGCCAATTTTTGTTTTTTAAAATGCACTTAAAGAAAAACAGTGAGGCAAAATGAAAAACTAAGAAAAAAACCCCACATACCTGTAGAGAGTTACGGGTTCTTCAATTTGGAATAGCTTTAAAGGGCTTCTGATTTATGAAGTAGCCCCTTTCTTGCCAATAAAAGAATGATATTTTTGGCCTGAATGTGAGAAAATTCTTCATTCTATATGTAAAGGCAATTTAAGGCAATGAACTAAGTCAACAGTAAATTAGGATGATCACAGCTTTGCAAAAAATAAAACTTGGACCCACAATCACTACTTCTCAAGAAAATCATTTGGTAAGTTTTTTTATGTCAAATTTGCATAATGCTCACCTTAGCTTCAGTATTTTAAATAGATTACTCAATTTGCTTCTATAAAAACTACAAAAAGATGTGTTTAAATGCCTGTAAAAGTAAGCGCTTATTCACTGATAAAATTCTAGTCATGGACAAAATTCTCTAAATATATGGAAGTGGGTTGTGCCCACAAAAACTCATGATATCATCTACATTTTTTGTTAGTCTCTAAGGTGCTGCATGACTGTTCGCTATTTTTTAAGTTTTTTCAGTTACAGACTAACATGGATACCCCTCTAAAAAAACCTTGTATCTTATTTTACAAATGTAAAGATTCTGAGTATATAGTCTAGATAAATTACTCTTATTCTTAACACATGATCTAAAGTTTTAAAATTGCACATTTTTACCATGTGATGTTTTGTTGCTTATTAACTTTCAATAAGATAGTGCTTAGTAACCTTCTAGTGAGCTGGTATAAAGTGATCTATAGGTTTTATTTCATTGGTCATTGGCTCTGTCCATGTTTTCAATTACCCTAGTAAGACGTATGTTCAGAAGTCTAACTTGACTGTCAATATGGTCAATCTTCTCTTCCAAGCTGTTGCTGCTATTTCTCCTCCAGTAAAATCCAACTGGTCCTGTCATGAAGTAAACGGCTACAACAAAGCACAGCGGCAAGACTGCATGCTCTGGTTCTCCTTCATACTTCTGGAGAATGTACACACATGAGAGGGCAAAAAGAGCAACTCTTACAATCCAGAAGAAGTGACCAAACAGCATATGTAAAAGAGAGAAGAAGAATCCAAGGAAAACAGACAAAAACCAATAGGCAAGTAAAACAGCACCAATAAGCAGAAGAACACGGGTAGGATTGTTGGCAACTGCTGCAGGGCTGAAATAATGAGTCAGGTTGGAAGCTGAAAAATAAAAACAAATTTATGAGAAATTAAAAGATAGTTGAATTCTGTTAGGCAAAGACAGTAAGTGATAAACTGTGAGCCTAGCTAGTGAAGGGCCATATATCTGCAGAAGTTTCAATGCTATGCTTATTAAAAAGGGAAGGGGGAATGACTAAGGATAGTGAACCAATGGCTCAGGGGCCAGATCCGGCCCTCAAGCTGCCTGGGTCTGGCCCCTGAGGCTCAGCCTTCCTCCTCCCCTGTGGAGTTGCTCCAGTCCTATGGTCCCCCTTCTGCCTAGACCCTGCCTAGACCCCTCAGTCTGATCCTACACTCTACCTCCTGTCCAGCCCTCCCACCCTCAACCCATTCCAGCACCTTTCCTCCCAGCAATTCCACATCCCAAACCAGCTTTCCTGCAACCCCCTCCCACACACTGAACTCCAGAGACCGTAGAGGGGCCCACAAAATCTACTAGTCTGGACAACCTTAGGCTCTGCTGTGCAAGGGGAATGTGGAGAGTGTCTTTCTGCTTCTCAGACAGTTTTTTTTTCCTTTTTGCTTCTCACTTTTGAGAGACTGATTTTTCTGTGGATCAGTGGTCCCCAGAACCCAACCCAAAAAAGGTTTCCCACTATGGTTCCCTGTAAGGTGTGCACCTGTGCTGGCACACACCAAAAATTTCGGTCCCACCCAACCCCCTCAGCAGAGCCACAGTGCTCCTGTGGGTGGGGCTGCAGGACCAGTGACTGCCCTGCTTGGAGCAGCTGGCCAGACACTGGCAGAGGCGGGCTAAAAATAGCACAGCAGCCCTGGCTCTAGGCTCAGTACACGGCCCGCCCACCTGCCATGCAGTCCCACCCTGGTGAGCAGCTGGTGCTGGGACCACAGTACTAACAATAGCACCACAGCCCTAGCTCGCATCCTGGAACACAGGATGTGCTGTTTCTGAAACTGCCCCATTTCTGAAGGTCTTCTCCCAGCTCTGCAGTGACCATCTGCGCCTGCTTTGCAGCAGGGCCAGCTGAGGGCTGAGCTGTTGTCAGGACAAGCTAGTTTCCCTTTGGATTACGACTGGTGGTATGTAAAGAGCTGCTCCACATCAGATGGTGCTTGACCCTACATCGCGTCTTCCCCAGCTAGTGCTTGTGCCAGGCTCCATGAGGATCAAACCGCTCGAGCAAGGAATGGGGAGCTGGCACTGATTGGTTACTACTGTAGTGACAACATAACCATGTCGCCTCACAGGAGGGAGAAGCATGTGGTGTGAGCAGGTTGGACACACAGCAGTGCTTTGGACATGTTTCAGGCAGCCCATCAGTCAGCAATCTGGGGCCTGGCTGTCTCAGAAGCACTCTGAGAGATTTGCTTGGCTCTGCATTGCAAGGGAGCACTGAGCCTTTCCTCTCAAGGTTCCCTGTTCCAACCTGGCCAGAGATCCTGTCTAACAGCCATCTACAGACCTATCCTCTATGAATTTATCTAGTTCTTTTTTGAACCCCATTTAAGTCCTGGTCTTCACAATGTCCTCTGGCAAAGATTCCCACAGGTTGACTGTACATTGCATAAATAGTTCCCTTATTTGATAAGAGCCCTTATAGACTAATCAAATAGCAGATGCAAACTGCACTGATTATTCAATTAGTGAAATAATAGAAATTTTACATCCCTGCTTCTTACTCTCCTTGATTGTTCCTTTAGCATATTGACCATTTGTGATACCACTGGTTGTTTAATAGGCTTCCTGCTTAATTTTTTTCATATAATGTTTTGAATATTTGTTGGTCAGCTTTCTTCAAATTCCTTTTTAGCTTTCCTAATTATATTTATACATTTTATTTGACAGAGTTTATGCTCTTTTTTATTTTCCTCACTAGGATTTAATTTCCACTTTTAAACAATGCCTTTTTATCTGTCACTGCTTCTTTTATTTGGTTGTTAAGCTATGGTGGCATTTTTTTGGTTCTCTTACTATATTTTTTATTTTGGAGTATATGTTTAAGGTGAGCCTCTATTATGGTGTATTTGAAAAGTTTCCATGCAACTTGCAAGGATTTTACTTTTGGCACTGTACTTTTTAATTTCTATTTAACTAACCTTCTCATTTTTGTATAGTTCCCCATTTTGAAATTAAGTGTTGGGCTGCTTTAATGTTTTTCTCACCACAAAGATGTTAAATTTAAATATATTATGGTCACTATTTCCAAGTAGCCCAGCTGTAGTAACCTCTTGGACCAAATCCTGCAGTCCATTTAGGACTAAATCAAGAATTGTCTCTTCTCTTATGGATTCCACAAGTGATTAAGCTACACAAACCCTTTGAAAGTTTTATTACCCAGACTCCTGTCCAGAGAATTTAAGCATTCAGTCCTGTTTACAGAAGAGATATAGCAGCAGTGCAAAGCTTTTCTCATACTGCTTTACCAATATACTTCACCCATTTGTTGTGAGGAGAATTAGGATAGATGGAATTTGGGAGATAATATTATAAGAAAAGGAGAAACAAACTAGAGGTAGGAAATAGTCCCCATCAATGTACTGGAAGGGTTAGCTGCCTAAACAAGTCTTCCCAGTTGCATACTAGGTACTCTGGAAACTGTCCTCTCCATTTTTTTTTAGTGGATGACATCAAATCACAAGTCTCAAAACACTTGCTGAAGAACAAAGATTAACCTCTCCAGATTTAGAAAGATGTGCATGACATCTCTGTGCCCAGATTTTCAACTCAGTGGATTTTTAAATCAGATCTCTTTCCATTCTCTGCTTTAAAGCTACAGAATGCATATTTGCAGGATTGTATTACTTCTTTTGTTTGGAAGTATTAATGGCAAAATGTAAAGTGTAGGAAGTGCTCCCTGAAACTGCAGTAATGGATGATTTGTAATGAATATAATAAACAGGTATGAAAGGTAATACAAAAGCAAAGATAATACATAATTTATTAATATTCTCCACCCTCAACATACATGTAAACACATCCATATAGATTAACTACATAATTCTGGGTTTAATAAGATTCATGCTTACCATCAATTCCAAGAACATCCAGCACATCAGTCCATATTCTCCAGAATGTGTCTACTAATACATCCACACCGTAAACAAATCTTTCTGTCAGCCTAGAGAAAAACTGTAAAATAAAATAAAATGCTGCTGTAAAGAATGACCATTGGAAACCAAGTTTGAGGAGTTTATACAGTTTACTAAATTTTCAGTCTATCAGAAAATATTCCTCAGTGATCAATCAAGATACATATACATTTTCTATTACCATAGTATCTGGGGGCCTCCAAAGATTTAAAAATAAATGTAGCAACGCTCTCTTCCCTTTCAGATCACAGGAAAATCTGACTTACAGGTTTTTGTTCACCTGCTTGTTCATATTTGGATGTTATTTGCAAAAAGTTCTTAACTGGTTCTTAAAAACACTCTTTTTACTGAAAACCTGACGTGTCTAAAATCAATATCTACACAAAACTTTACTGACAGTGCAAATTATACTCATTCAATTCAGTAAATTAACATACCATTATGTTACTATGATACAGAGGGAGTTAAGGTTGGGAATTGTGAATTTAGAAGACTGAATGAGAAAATGAATTCACATAAAGGCTGGTTTGGTTTCCTTTGGGAACAACCTAATCTAAATTTGTTTTCAAGATTACAATACTTGATAGTCTTATTTCAGTTCTTGCTTGTACCCCTACAGAATAGCAGTTCTTGAGGCATGAATCTCTGAGAAGGGTCACACAACACTGTGGAAAAAACACCTGCACCATCTCAATGCTATTGCCTTCACTGTACAAGGTATACTGTGGCTGTCTACACTATGAGTTTTCTTGACAAAAAATATGCTAATGAGGGACTCATTTGCATGAGTTGCAATCTCATTTGAATATTTTCTGTGGACCCGTTTTTGCACAAAAACAAGCAGCATGGACATTTTCTTTTTGTGCAAAAACCCCTTTTTCTGCAGAATCCTTATGCCCCCAAAAAGGAGGTACACTGATCTTGCGGGAATAGGGGTTTTCACGCATAAAGAAAATGTCCACACTGCTTGTGTTTGCACAAAAACCCTAGCACAAAAACAGATCAGAAAATATGCAAATGAGATTGATGCATGCAAATGAGTCCCTCATTAGCATATTTTTTTTGCCCAGAAAACTAGTAGTATAGACCATAGGATTTCAAAGGTCCAAATTTTGCCAACATACTAACAACCTCCAGAAGACTGCCACTATAAACTTCCGAACAAAAAGCTATCAAGGTTATAGTTGAGAAATACAGATATTAGCCTGTTTTGTTCCTGTAATCTAGTAACTGTATATTCCATGCTGCTTCCTACCATAACTGTCTGCTATTATGCAAGAAACTTCTTCTGGCCTGCTAATAACATCCCTCTCTCTCCTCCCTCCCTCACTATTTCAATAATCTTATCTGAACATATTTTATTCTCTTCCATCCTGATGTGTCTTGATTCTTTCCCTCTGATACTTTACTGTATTGAATGCATTTCTGTAACTATATTTGAAAAAGCACTGTGACAAAACTGAAATATATTCTCTGTAAAAACTGTCTACTATTACTTCTAATTTACTCTTTCAGCACCAGTTTAATAATTCATCCACACTTCTATTTGGGATAGAAAGAACGAGGAAGCAAAAGAGTTTTCATTCATTTGTTGATTGAGATGGAAGTTTTCCTTTGCTTTAGAATACTAGAGGTCAGAGGGACCTCTGCATTACTACCATTAAAATAGCTGACTTCTGTGAAAACATTAAAAACACTTGCTCTAAACTAATCACATGCTCTAAAATGGCCACATTTAATCAAACTGCAGCTGGAAAGTAAACAAGACACAGATGCGGCCCACTGACTTTGACCACTGCTTCAATAAGCAGTACGATCCTGGTGGATGAGAGATGCAGTGTGGCCACCCTCAGCGGGAGCCAGGCAACTCGTCGCTCGCAATGCCCTGCCCGTCCAACCCCGCGGTGGTATTTCTGAAAGCTTTTTTCTTGTGTTTAATCCTTACGACCGGGTTCAGATTAAGGTTTTTATTCGGGGAAGGTGAGAAATGAGCGGACGGGAGGGGGAGCTTTCTTTGCTCATAAAGCACATGGAAAAGTGCACGCGCCAGACCTCCCTCTTTCCAGCCTTGACACATGCAACCAACCCAGAGACGCTTCGGGGTATGCAAGCCACGACGTGGAATTGAGATCTGTTCATGTAATGTCCCAGATATTGTAATTACTTCATTCCCACATGCAATTATTCAGTGAAGTAAGGCCTTTCCTCTCCTCTGTTTGCCCCCTTTCCCAACAGAAAATTAAGCATTGTTTCTAAAACTAACAGAACCCTTATTCAACTGGATATTATGCCTGACTAAATTGGCCCTTGCTGTTTCTCTGAGGCTACGTCTAGACTGCAAACCTCTTTCGAAAGAGGCTTTTTTGAAAGATACTTTAAAAAAAGCCTCTTTCGAAAGAGAGCGTCTAGACTGCAACCAGTACTTTCGAAAAAGCAAACCACTTTTTCGAAAGAGAGCACCCAGGCAGTCTGGAGACTCTCTTTCGAAAAAGCACAGTTTGAGCACTTTTGAAAAAAGGCATTATTCCTCATAAAACGAGGTTTTTCGCGGTCGAAAAATCTGCCGCGTTCTTTCGATTTACTTTTGAAAGAATGAGGCAGCAGTCTAGACGCAGGGGAAGTTTTTTCGAAAAAAGGCCACTTTTTTTTAAAAAAACCTGTAGTCTAGACACACCCTGAGGGATAACGTTTCCTGCTAATAGACTATGTCCTTAGCCTGCCAAATGATACAAGTGTATATTGGGATGGTAACATTTCTGGTCAATAGAAATTGACAAGTTAGATACTTTTCTTTGCCACTCCTATCCTAATCCACAGAACTGAAGTTATTATTGAAAATGCAGCAAGTCTTTATGCAATGCTGCTGTTTATATAATTTTAATCCTAATGTTTTGACTTTTATAGGTTTATAATTCTAAACTGCATAATTCTCTAGCACAGTGTTTCTCAACCTTTTTTTTCATAACCCCTCTCCCCTTTTTTAAATTATAAGTACCCCCAGTACCTCTAGTTTTCAGACACACATTTTTTTCTACCATTGCAACACATTTGTTTAAACAACTTAATCATAGCTGGGCTGGGGGGATGACATTTTGGATGTAAAAAGTACAAAAATAATAAAGCGCTGTAAAACCTAAAACAAAAATTCAGTTTTCTCTAAATTTCAGTGGTGTTTAGGTACCCCCCAACCCCAACTTCTCTCAAGTACCTCTATAGAGGTACTTGTACCACTAGTTGATAAACTCAGCTCTAGTATATGTTATGCTTATGTTTGTGCATCTGTCTGTGAGTATGTTTCTTCAGAAACTCCTCCTAAATGGTAAGAGCTACAACCACCAAATTTGGTATGCAGTTTCCTGTTATCCTAACTTAAAGCAAGGCCAGAGGTTAGTTGTGGTAGGAAAATGGGGTGTGTCTGGAATTCAATTGTTTTCCATAACATAAAAAGGGAGGAGGCTGAGCAGAGAAATGCTATACTCAGACTCCCTGCCCTTAGTGGTGATTAACAGTTATATTGCTGTGATCACTGGGACAGCTGCACCACCAAAGGAGTGGCCAACTGAGGATGGGGTTTGCCATCTTGTCTGTCACCAGCCCAGGTAAATGGCCCCCCTGCTCCAAACCTCTGCTCCCCGGCCTTTGGCCAGAGTGCTGGACTGGGGGAGGGGAGAAGCCCCACCAATCCCATCATGTAGTCCCCCCTGGGAGTACTACCAGGGCTAAGTAGTGCAGCCCTGGCCCCTGCCATAGCAGCTTCAGCCCGCTCTCCCCCAGCACTGCTAGGCCACTCAGGCCACTCAGCACAGTGTCTGGCCAGTCAGAGCAGCCCCTTCTGTCTTGCCCTGGGCCAGGTCAATGGCGCATCAATGTGAGGCCTACATGGACCTCTTGCCTCCCTGTGTGCTGCCCTCCAACCCTGGGCCAGACCTCCGGAGTCAGGCCCACATTACCTACCTCTGAGCTGGGCTTGGGTAACGCCAATGGGAGGCCTTCATGGAATCACCCTCCTTCCCCGCTCCCAGACTAGACTCAGGCAACACTGGATAAGTCTTCTAGTTTATTCATATGAAAAAGATAATTTCCCCTTATTTATGGTATAAAAAATCCTTTCTTGTTTTCCTGTGACAACATAAAGCTTTCGTGTTTGTATATTCAATGTCCTTTACAAATAATAAACTTTTTTTATTTACTGTATGGAGCCTCTTATTCTACTCTAGACATAGTTTAGGGCCTTAGAATGTCATAATTCAGCATTGTTGCACATCCTCCCCTCACAGCACAACACTATACTCAACAACACTATACACAACAACAAGGGTGCTATGTTTTGAGAAGAATATATGTTTGTATATTCAATGTCCTTTACAAATAATAAACTTTTTTTATTTACTGTATGGAGCCTCTTATTCTACTCTAGACATAGTTTAGGGCCTTAGAATGTCATAATTCAGCATTGTTGCACATCCTCCCCTCACAGCACAACACTATACTCAACAACACTATACACAACAACAAGGGTGCTATGTTTTGAGAAGAATATAGTGTTTAATTTCCACTCTTGCATGCTTCTCCTCTGACCCCAGCACTAAGCAGCCATGGCTAGGGGAGAAGTACGCTCCTCCACCACCAGGAGGGAGCTGCCATTGCTGAGCGAGAGGGGCCCTCTGGCAGCTCTGTGTACAGTAGCTCCGTGCCTCTGTGTGGGGCTTATTAAGCAGCTGCACAGACATGTGGCTGTACAGTTTAGAAGGAATCCTGCTGGGAAACTCACTTTTCTCTCTATATAAGTGACATAATAGAGGATACAGACAGTTTGAGACTAAGGCTACATCTAGACTGGCATGATTTTCCACAAATGCTTTTAACGGAAAAGTTTTCCGTTAAAAGCATTTGCGGAAAAGAGCATCTAGTTTGGCACAGACGCTTTTCCACAAAAGCACTTTTTGCAGAAAAGTGTCCGTGCCAATCTAGACACACTTTTCCACAAAAAAGCCCTGATCACCATTTTCGTGATCGGGGCGTTTTTGTGCAAAACAAATCTGAGCTGTCTACACTGGCCCTTTTGCGCAAAAACTTTGCACAAAAGGACTTATGCCCAAACGGGAGCAGCATAATATTTCT